TTTTCAGTCACTGTCAATCAATTTGTAGTGAGCCTTGGAAAAAGTCTCTGTCAATAACTAATTGTAAAATCATGGTTCATAAAAAGACAGTCATCACCGTAGGCATTAAGTGATCGTCACAATAAATCGTGAATTGATTGAGTTTGAAATATGTCGACTATTGAATTTAAACTCAGTAGTTTTACAATTAATGTGCTCACTAATAGAAAAAAGGTCATGGGTTCAATCATATGCGGGGCCATTGACATGAGATAAGATGGTTCAAAAAAGAACGGCTAGTTTTATTATCAATCCATATCAAAGTATCGTCTTATTTTCTTGCAGCTTCAATTGAGTTCTACATCGGTCTACTTTAAAGACTTTGAGAAATATATCTATGAAGACATTTAAGTTAATAGTTTGATCCCGCAAATAATAAATGAATATTCTTCTTAAGAAGGCAGGTTCGATGGTTAGTGCGTCTAGCATTTAGCCATTAAGTTACAGGTTCAAGACCCGCCGGTTAACTGGGCATTAGTATCACAAGGACTTACATACTTAGAGTGCTGCTCGGAGCTAAGTACATTAATTCATAGTTGAAAGCGATTATTAGAGAATATTTGGATGATCCCGTTACCGATAATCTTGACTGGATTGTGACCACTCATTGTTGGCAAATGTACGAAAGGTTCTGTGTTCGAGTCTGCGTGTGGGCATTAACCTTAGGGTGTATGGGGCATTCGGTTGACGAACCACAAATAGTACCAAACTCACATCCTGGATTCCATTGTTATTCATAAATCTATTTTATAAACGGATAGTATCATGTTTAAAGTACTTTACAAAATAAATGTGAATGTGTCTCTTCAGTATGATGATTGATTTTGACTCGTATCACTTAATTGGGTTTTCAAACTAATGATTTCAATCAGGAAATCTTAATTTTTCCTCAACATCCATTTATTTTTAATAAAGTTGTCATCAAGGTAAATAATGGAACAGGATGTGCATAACCCAGGGCTTGACCCTCATTCCCAGTCATTGAAAGTTTAACTAATCTTGAGTTACTTTCCATAACTTTATAAAATCTTAATATTTCAGTAGGAAGTTTTAATTCAAACAAATGTAATTTCCCCACATCATTCATCTGTATCTATATCGTATCTTACGAACATGAAACATTGAGCACTCAGTGAATGATTTACCAATATACTCAATTCTTAATGAATAAGGGGATATTTTGGTCTGTGATAGATTATGTTATAGCAAAGGAAGGGAAATATTTCTAATAAATGGCTGGATGTGTTCAACTATCATATTAGGCGGGCCTCTCATAGAAAATCGCAAATTGTCTCCAATTAATATATTGGCACGTATCATTTATGAATGAAATTTAAGCAATCATCTAATTCACTTTATCAATGAAATGAACCAGATTCGGCATCGTTTTTTAGCAGTCTATTATAATCAGAAATCGTTACTTGACATACATAATAATACCTCAATATCGGCATACATTAGTTGTGATCTGAATTTGGATTCATCGAGTTTCATTGCATAAAAATGTTTATTCATAACTATCAGTAGATTCAAAAAAGAGATTTGAATTGTAGAATTCGTTTGTCAGATCGTAAAACTAACCCTCTTTCGGTGATGATTAAAATTTAGTCAGTATTGCTTGTTTGAAACTGTTCCATTTGAATGTTACGATTATTTGACTCAATCTAAAATGATGGAACATCGGTCAATAAATTTAATTATGTAATCTAAACACTTTGAAATCTTCGAAATCTGAAGATGTATTACTTGAGCATTGAAATTCGTTAACTATTCTTGTCAATAGATTTCATTGAGACCCGAGTTTGTTATTGATGTTGGTAATTTAATATGCTCAAATTACTAAGGTTACTTAGATTGAGTTTAATTTCAAACATCATTTCTTTAGATATTAACATAAACTGTTGTATTTACTTAAAATAGATCCTAATCCTCTTACATTCGGCCGATTTTACAAATGTTTCTAAATGACCTGATGAACCGCATAGGTTCCGATGACTGATTGCTTTTTCTCGCGGATCGTAGTTAGTCTATTTTAAACTTTTAGTTAATTTTTCCATATTCCTTCATATATTTTAATCGATCATCATCGTACAAATGAAAATACATTAATGTAGGTAAGTGAAGTGAAGTGGAAGCTTCTCTATCTAAATATCTGAATATTGAGAAGATTAGACTAGGGTCCATATTGCAATCTGATCAAAAGAATTTGACCAGGACTAAAGCACTAAACAAATATGACATTGTTCACTATCATTCGGTGATCAATAAGTTGTGGGTGGAGTTATCAAACCCACTTTATCACTCCACTTACGTTTGCTATGATTAAATTAAGGGGTAACAAAGTACTTATTCTGATACATATTTATATTGGAACACGTCAAAACTACTTTTATTTATTCAATTTCAATCTTGTCTGCATTGTAATATTGTCATTCATCACGATTTTTGTTATCACTGTCTGTATCTTTTCCGCGCATTATATTAGGCGTTCGGACACAGACGATTACCATGTCTCCCGCATCTCATTATGTCCAGTCTTCTTACCAACTACTCATCTCTCTCTCTCTCTCTCTCTCTCTCTCTCTCTATATATATATATATATATATATATATATATATATATATATATATATATATATATATATATATATATATATATATATATATATATGGCCTGTGCACTCACACTCAATTTGTGTGAATGGCTAACAAATCAGTTTATTAGTTTTAGGTGGGATGAGAGAAGTAACTTTTATTTACTCCTCATTATTGTCATTATTATCATTGTTAATATTCTCATTAGTAATATTATTACTAAGCTTCATCATTGTCATATCGTATAACAGATTGTTAATTTGACCGAAATAAGTCTTGTCTATCTATTTGCCTATCATAGTTATCGTTGCATTACTGCTGTGTATTGTGGTGATATTTATTTGTTTGTTTGTTTGCTCGTTCTTATCTTTTCTATGTGGTTCACGACACCAGCTGTCATGGTTGCGCTTGACTGTTATATTATTATTATTATTGTTACTATTTATACAAACTCTCTCCATACACTATTAACTCATCGTCATAGTGCACATCAGAGAGTTAGTGATTCACGTGATATGGTGGACACAGTAAGTAAGCTAACACAGTAAGCTAACCTTTTCTTTCTATAGTGAATTAAAAAACCAACACAACAAGACACAAATAAGAAAAAAAATATAATCATGAATTTTTTATGAAGAAAAAACTCACTTTGATAAACATGCATACACATTATTACGATAGTCCATATTATATATAAGTGCATGTAAATACGTATACACAACCATCAAACATATATATGACGTCTCGTACTATAGTACTATAGTCTTTCACACTTGCCAATAGAGATAAGTAATGTATGACTCGTCGTATTTGCACCCCAGTAATTTTCTCTCTCCTTCATTTATTACTTATAATCTCTTATTTTATATTACTTACTCTCTATGGCAGTTTTTTTTAAAAAAATATAATGTATGAAAAAAAACAGTCAGTGTATTAGTCATAAGTCACATAACCCCTAAAAATTTATGTAAGTATCCAATCAAAATTCTACTCTTCTTTTCCACCCCTTACATTAGTTTTTTTTTTCAAAGGAAGGATCGCACACACAGTAATATGTGTACCCTAAAAAAACTTATTATTAAAGAATACACCGGATTATTGTTGAAGTTAACTACCCCAAGACTAGATGCATATTTCTCTCCATTTATTAGGTGAGTGAGTAAGTGAATGAATGAATAAATAAGAGAGACGTATCATGCAATGAGAGAGATGTCACAACATTAATATTAACAACAATTATCATTATTACTAACTAGCTAGACTATAGGGCCCATGATAATAATTGTTATGGTGTAGAGAACAACATAAAACATACACAAATTGATAGCATACAATCTCCATAACTCCTATTCGTTAGTCATACATTTTTGTACGGGCACAGATATTCATAGTGTATGAGAAAAATAAAGGATCTGCAGTTTTTTATATGCATAGACAAAGTCAGTCATAAATTCGTACCACTAGTAATAGTACTACTACTGTCAAAATCTGATTCTTTGGGATTATCAACGTTCAATTTCTATTTGTGATCATAAATAATTGAGTTATGCATTGTATTTATAATAGAACAGTGGATGGCTACATTGTACACTGGTAATAACCACGTCATAGACACATCATTAGTGTCTAAAACTTTGAGAAATTCTACGTCAACAACTACAGTAGCGTCGATACCGGACACAAAGACAATAATAACATCGTCAACACAAATAAGTGAGGACAGTTCTTCAAAACAAATAAAAAGCAAATCAACTTATCCATCAACATTATTTAGTCCTCATTTAGTGGATCACCACCAACATCATAATCAACCTATTGATCTCATGTCTAATCCGAATGGTGGACTTGCGTTAGCTTCAGCTTTAGCTGGTATTTTAGGATTACCATTCCTACCGTCAATACTACCACCAACATCATTGAATTCAACGACTATGACAACAACAGCAGCAACGTTAGGGATAGAGAAAACAATACCATCATCCACATTAGATACATCACCGTCGGATATTACAACTTTTCTAAGTCAACATCAACAAACTCAGTCGATGTTACCATTATGGCTTTCATCAAATTATCAAAATAATAATGAAAATGTTGACGTATTGAATGATAATCTTATCACAAATAATACTACCAATAATAACAATACTCCTGCTAATGTATGTTGTAAAAATTCGAATGGTCAAATAGCAGATACACTTAGTTCGTCCGGTATCAATCTGAATATATCAACTATGAACACAATTCATTCAATGAATCCATTATATGATAATATTAATAATAGTAATAATAATACTGTAACCAATAATAGTAATAATAATAGTCATTTATTTAATAATTTTTCATTTATTTTACCCTCTCAACAGACATGCTCTGATGTATCTTCAGATACAGGGTCCGTACAGTCACCATTTACACCTGTACAACAAACAACCCAATCAACATCAATTCATCTAACTAATTCAAATACAATCGATTCCAATTATTCAACTGGTAATCCTAATAATAAATTTAATACAGCAATGTTATCGTCGATAATGACATCTTCATCGTCATCAACAACTACAACACCAATACCAGTCACATCACAACAAATCAATCTTGATTCATCATCAATAAATAATAGTTTATTGAATTCTATAGAACGTGATCGTAAACAACGTGAATTTATACCGGATTCTAAAAAAGATGATAAATATTGGGAACGTCGGCGTAAAAATAATGAAGCAGCTAAACGATCCCGTGAAAAACGTCGACAAAATGATATTCTCATGGAATGTCGTATTAATCAATTACAAATACAAAATCATAAGTTACATCATGAATTAATAGAGTTGAAATTGCGTTTTAATATACCATTAAATGATGAAGATAAAAAATTTATGGAAAATCAATCATCAACATTAGATGATACACAAAACGATGTATATAATGGACATCATGACCATCATAATAATAGTGATGGGGAATTGAAATTATCCGAAATGGATTGTTGTATGATGTCAACAACAAAGTCAAGAAATGATTCATTGTCAATGGATGATTCACAAAATGAAATGTTATTAAAAAGCGATCATTTATCATCAGTATCACCAACACCACCGCCATTATTGCCACAGTCGCCCACAACAACAACGATGTTGATGACAACGACGACGGCAACAGCGACATATTGTACGACAGCAACTGTTTTACCAATGTCAACGTCTTCAATTGATCCATTAATGAATTCTGTGGTAATGACAACGACATCTTCGTCATCGTCCTCACCTTTGCTGTTACAATCATTAAATCGGATGAATTGTGAACAAATGAATATTGAGTTGTCAGCAACAAACACGACAACTACAACATCAGTTCTGTCTAATAATCATAATCATACAGTTTCGAGTAATTTTTTATTCCCTCATTTAAATTCATTGGATAACACTGATCTATTAACATTGAAACGTATATTCTCTAGTTTAGGTGTTGGATGTTTATCAACACCACCAACTACTTCGCCAGTGACAATGAATCACTCTTCATCAACATCATCATCGGCTTCTCCGCTAATTGCGGCAGCGGCAGCCGCGGCAGCTGTTGCCGCAGTTGCTACAAATGGTGGTTGTACAATGCCTTTATCACCTATTCCCGGAAACAATAACAATAGTATATGTACAACTTCGACAACAACACCATTTAATAATCTATCATCATTGAATACAACAGCTGCACTATTACTTCGACAAGCTGGTTTAATGCCAGCATCTACTACTCCTCCGCCACCACCAATGTCGCTGCAGTCTACTCTTCCAATACCTCAACACCCTCAAACAAGTAGTTGTGGATTGCAGGACAATATTTCGATTATGAAAAATAATAATAAAAATGATAAATTGTCATTTTCATCCTCAGTTATACCACTGACAGCGGGTCCCACTGCTAATGTTGGTGGCGGTGGTCGCTGTTCATCAGTACATTCAGTTAAATCAGATCTATCTAATAATTCAAATGATTATTTTGAATCTCCATTAGACCTTAGTTTATGTTTACAAATTAAATCTGAAAGTCACAATTCTGGTAAGTTATTTGTATTCAATTACCCTTTTCGTTAGTTTAGAATTCTTGTCTTTAAATGGCTAATATGTGTTGTAAAACATTTCACTGTTTAAAAAATCCATTGTATTAAATGAAATATGAGATAATTGTTTCTCCTAACCACATACGAATATGACCGGAAGTTTACTCATTTAAAACTAGTCGACCGATTCTACGGTAGCTTACTAATGATGATCTACTTCAAAATGTTTCTGAAGTTCTAGTGAGTAGTGTTTGGTAGAGTTCAGTCGGGTTGCGAATTGAGATAGTTGTCACCAATGGAATTAGATTACCGTCTCACTATATCGCAAATTGATTGGAGTTCTAATTGTAAAGTTGGACACTAGCTAAGTAGTTTTAGGAGTTTTGCATTCATAGTGAGATCTAACAATCCTGTGTTTAATCCCTAGTGGACCTCTGTGTACACGCTTCTATCGAGTTTTACGCTAGAATGAAACAACTACCTAGTATTCTCTAATTTCCAACTGTACCCCAACCGTGACGACCATTACCTACAACTTGAATCAATCTTCACAAACCAATTTATATTGTTTATAATGCAGCAATAAGTCTAAGTGTATTTTGTGATATAAGGAGTTGGTAAAACACATGAAATGACTTCATTGCACGATAAGAAATAATTAATGTAGGACGTATTAAAATTGTAAATCAGCCCACGTTTTCTAATCCAATAGCACAGAGAAATAAAATTATCATGATAAAATAGTAAAGAAGTTGAAATAATAATAATGATGTCAATGATAATGCTAAAAACAATTAGACATAAAGAACATAATTTGGAAAAAAATAGTAGATCCGTGAAATAAACTTATGAGGAAAACATTTAGATTCGTTACTTAAGAAAAGGAAAAGATCCAATACTTCTCGACTTCAATCGACAATTTATTAGTAATGTTTATTCCTCGAGACCTGACTGGGTAGTTTGCAACCTCACCCTAACCCCCGATATGGCTCAGAACTAACAGGTAGTGACATCTGGATTGATATCACATTTAGTTTACACTTATCAAACTTTATTCTTACCAACTTTCCAACGTGAACGAGATGTAAGTATTAACATTTGTGGTTGGATACAAGTTTTAAGTGTTGTGAAGTTGAGCTCACTGTGTAACACGAATTTGAACACATTTAATCTCATCTTGATACAGCTTCAAACGAATGAGTGTTTTTTCTCATTATCACACATTTTATTATTACTCCTATTCTGTTTAGTGTTCCCCAAACAATCATAATCTATGATTAAGGATCGTAAGTTGATGATGACTTGAAGTTGATCGTCAAGGATCAAATTTTTTTGTTGGGGGGGGATTCTTTTAAAATCGCAATCTCTTGTGGTTATTTCTTACTTTTCATTCATCAATAACATCAATTTCTTCGCGAACTATATTCTCTGTATCGGTTTTTTTCTGTATGCTTTTTTATTACTATCTTTTATTCGGTGTCTAGATTGTTAAATCTGTTCGGCCCTTTGACAACAACTTTAAAGGTTCTAACCACTCCTCAACTACTTCCATTTAAATCACTATTTGGTATTACTAGCCTTTCCATGAAGTCTAGTTCAAAGATTAGGATATACATAGACATCTGCAATTGGTAGATAAACGGGGCCAAATTTTGACTTAAAATTTTCACGTTATGGAATACAGTGGATCCATGTATCACATTTCTAATTTCCTGTGAACTGACTGATCATTCTAAAAGATCAAATTAGTCTTATGTTACATATTCGTATATCCTTTTCTCTGTCCAATCAACATAGATACAGTTGATGAGATAGGTTCAATTTGCTAACTTCATTTCATTTCAATGTCTCCGCTTCGAGTTGTGCATCGTCCCGTTGTGTTAATCTTTTATTACTCTTTACACAGTTAACAGGATTTCAATGATAAATGTACTAATTGGTATTTGTTTGTTAGATTGTATTAGTGTTGACTGATTTTATGTTCAATATCCATTCTGAATAATCTAAAAATATTATTGTTCGCAATAGATGTGATATATTTCGTTGTTAATATTCAGCAGTGAATTTTGATGTCTTTGTTGAAATCAACATTCGAATGTGACAGGCAAATCCAGTTGACGAGTCTTTAATGGGACGAAATGCACTTCTTTCATTCCACTGCTAGTCATAATCTATCTCTTCTAGAAAAAATAATAAATTATACATCGTTACCACCATTATTTGTTGAACTATTCCAAGGGAGAAATAGAAGCATTGAATTATGTGGTTTGTGTTCACTCACAAAATACAACGATTATACATTAAGATTCCAAATAGGGTTATAATGAATACGCACTATCCTTCAAACTTTCCTGGGGAACATTTGACCTCCAGATTACTGAGTTAGCATCAAAATGTTTACATTTCTCATTCCAGTCGATTTTTTGTATATTATGCCACTACCATTCGCCACCATCGATGTTATTTATTTGATATCTGGTACATGTTGAAACCCACTGATCGTGATTTCACACTAAAACTCTGTGAATTACTCTAGAAGTTAGTTACCAGTAAAGACATGGTGATTTTCAGTACAGGAGATTGTAGAGAATGGTAAATTTATGCATTACATAGCTATTCAAATTGGTGGTTAACTCTAGCAGAAATTAGTTACTACTCTGTAATCGGTAACATACTAACCGTTTTTTAGCCGGTGGATGGTTTAATAATTAACATACTTAACTTTTAAATTTCAGGTTGTATAATTAAACCTTTAATTAAGTTAGACAGCAACTAGGTAGTATCGTTCTAACCCTTAGACACTCGGTGTGTGATTGAAAACCAACTGCATGAATAAATACTTGACATCACCTAAAAATAGTATCAATTCTTTCTTCACTATACCCTTTTAATGGAAAAGGATACATACCCGTGAATTTGTAGTTCATCCGTTTTTCCATGTTCAATATATATTCGGTAGTAGCAAGCATTTTCGGGCATTTCCCCGTTCATTTTGTTAGTGAATGCTAATTATGAGAGTATAATTTCACACTCCAACTCTCAATTTGTTTGCTTTTTTCATCTGTGAAGTTGACATGATTTACACTGATGTGTTCATAGAAGAGATATGTAGACAACTTAAGATGACTGAAATGAAATCAGTAATGAAAATCATATTTTTGTAATGCAACACCCTGATCCACTAAATGAATAAAAGAATAGTTGACAATGTTATATATTTAACTATTATTGAACAATGAAAAATGATGGTTATCCTCATACCTTTTAACCTTTTTTTCATGATTTCATATTTTACACACTGAATAAAAACATGAAACACAAAATTAGGTAATCACCATTAATATTGAGAGTAAAATGCCTGTAACACAAATCCTTGTTGTTGTTTCTTTTTCTTTCCAGTTTTTGAATACTGATCATCTGTTTAAAAATAAAGATGATTCACATGAGTACATATCACTCTTAAGAGTGATTTGTTGCTATCACTATATTTTGTCCATTATATTTTACATAATAGATTGTTATTCTATCGTTATGGCGTTAATAGACAAGGATCAACACTTAGTAACAGGTTATTACATATATCAATGACTATACAACTATATATATGTATATAATTTAATCTGACACAATATGTATCTGAGGTCATGATGATGAGAAAGTTTTCTTTGTTTTTACTGTAAACATTATTCAGTCAATAAGGTCAAATAATCAACTATTCCATGTATTAAAAAATAATAATAAATACTAACTTTAAATTCATTTGTTTGAATCTTCCCATCCATGTGTTAGGACTGCAACTGGTCAGTCTCTAATTGACATATGTGCATACTGTGCGTATTGCCTCGATATAGCCTTAATTTACAGGCATTATAAGCAAAGATGGATAGTGACTAGCAGTGGAATCCAGGACGCGCGTTTCGTCAGCTGGATGTACCTGCATTTCAGAGTTGATGTTCACTCTTTGATTTTAAACAAGTCGATCAGTTAATACTTTGTTGTTATTACATGTTAGCTAACAGAATACTTTGGTGTTTAGGAAAAGATATATTCAACTGTTAAGAAAGAGTTTTTTCAAAACGTATTTTAAAAAATGCGTTATCTATGAGAGGTGATGACAATTAATTGATGAACGTTAAGTGACAGTTTCAAATGTCCATATCATTTATTTAACAGATAATATTCTAATCAATCACTCTTTAAATAAATTGTCTTTTTTTGGGGGGGGAGTAGATTACAAATTTATATCTGTCTTACTTCTCACAAGGATCATAAATAACAATAAACAACTTTTTTTTGAATGAACATTTAATTGAAATAAGTCACTTTGAGTAGTTTGGATGTAGTTTTTATCATGGATCATTGAAAATCAAATAGTACAGGACATAGTTGTTTCTTCTTAGTTAGAGGATTCTTAAGAGTATACACTTTCTAGCTCCCATATTAAATCAACGTCCCCACCGCTTACTCCTAGCGAGCACACATGTTGTCGGGGGTCTTAGATTTACACTAGTCAGGAGTTTCAAACTAGACACCACTTATCTAAACAATTCACGTTAATAAAATAAATCAGAACATAGTTCTGATAACCTTGGTCTTCTTATTACACTACCGAAATTTATCAAAAAGACTAATTACTTCAAATAACTAAATTGATTAAATTTTATTACCTTCATGGAATCATCAACGGAAGTGGTTGGAAAACGTATTACGTATGCCGAACCGCCGCCTACCTCTAAAAGCGATGTTGTCTAGCAAAGGATCAGACTAAAAGGAAGCTAGAAGCAGTCGAACTAAGATATTTCATCAGTTCATGAAATTATTTACAATTGGATTTAATAATGTAAGTAGGTGTAGATTACTTGGTTGAGGTTTATGTCACTATCGTAACCAATGGTTAGAGACTTCTGTTGATATAGTTCAAAATCTGAAGCAATGATATGGATTCATTCACTCTTAATCTCGAAATACTGATATTTCTAATTCTGCAAGTTCATACTTT